GCACATTACCATGCTCATAGAGTACATTCTCCTTTTAGTTTCACCCAAAAGAGATCCAGCTTATTAGTCCCGAGACCACCCCACAATGGAGGTCAAAGCACAGTAAGCCTGCACAGCCAGGAGATTTCTTCAAAAGCACAAACTTGATCTGAAATACACCACAGACACAGAGGTCTTGTTCAGGAAACAGGCAAGCTGAGAAAGGCAACATTTACTGACTAGATACTACTGCTCCCAGACCCTTGCCTTGCATTCACTTCGTGACACTTCTGATTTGCAAAGTGCATTCATTCAAACACAAAAAAACCTACTGAAAGTCATTGGTATTATACAATCTCAATACATTTTGTAATAATGACCAGGTTAATTTTAGAATCATAGAACCACTTTGGTTGGGAAGGACCTTTAAGATATAGTTAACCATTTTGATAACATACCTCTTGAAACACACTGCATTCAAAATCTTAGCTCCTCAGTAAGAATACAGCCCCAACCACATTTTTGACTCAGTCTGCTGCCTGCCTTACAGAGTGTACTTGGCTTCTCTTTTTAAAGATGTATAATGTTGATATCTGCAGGACTAAATATTTTAAGGAATGAAACTATCGACTTTTACATCTTTCCAATAAGCATTTAATTTTCAGCCAGTTGCAGAGTGTGTTTAGAAGACAAGCTGGCAGAAAGAAAGGAAAACATATCTTGTTTAAGACTTCTATATACATGTGTGCTGTCATGATAAAGAAACTGGGAAAATGTTACAACCACCAGAAAGTTCAGCTGCAGCAGGCACTCATACATTCCCTGTCTTGCTCAGTCATCCACTGTTTAGCCGCTCAGAAAAGCATCCTCCTAGTCAGATCCTTCTCACATACAGTCAACATGTATTCTCAAGATACTGGGACAGTTTATCATGTCCCTGTGGGTGTTCTCAGGAGCTAGATACAGCACTGCCAATGAAGATGTCATGGCATCCAGTATTGCACAGAACAGAACACAGAAGAGCTTGCTACCCAAAGTCTTGTTCTTTAGCAGAAACACTTTAAAAGCAAGGCTCACTCACCCAAACTAAGCCCTAGGATTAGGACAGGATGGGCCCCTCTATCTTTGCCTGTAGGCAGCACACCAACACTGGAAGCTCTCCCAGGGGCCAGGCAGAAGCACAGAAGGAATCAAGTGGGACCATCATACCTTTCACAGTAATCAGTTTCAGACATTTGAAATCACCACTACTTAGCCCTGAAGAGGACTTCAAAAAGAAATATGCTGACAAATTCACATGAAAACTGTCCAAAATTACTAACATGGTAACAGGCACTTAGGTAAGCAAGCCAGCTATTCAGGTTGAGGCAAAACAATGGCAGTGGAAGGCCTTCTGCAGCTAGAGTATTAAAAAATGCGCCCGCAGGCATCTCTGAATAAATTCACAGCAAAGGCAATTTCTCCTTCTGCAAGAATTACTGCAATCTAAAGTGTCAGACACCTTGCTTTTAAAGTCTTATCATGTGAAAAGTGCTTAATAGAAAAAAAAAAAAAAAAGGTGAATTGCATGGTCACTCTTGCTTCCCAGCTAGAACATACGAATATTGATCCAGCTTTAAGAAAAGCTGTTCAGTATCTCCTCTTCAGCCACTCATTTGAAAACACTGGAACTACAAAGACAACAAGTGTCTGAATCAAATGCTTCAAGGGCTTTTCTAGCAGCTCTTGCAGCTGCCTTTACTGCTTCCCTATTGAAAGGGTATGTTTACTAAATGTTTTTGCAAGAGATTTGTGGGACATGGTATTTCTCCCTCAGAAAGACAACATCCTTGAAAGAGAATCTCCTACATAAAACACTTCTTTTCACATCAAACAATTCATGGAAAACATAAGAATTCTTTAGACTGGAGTTCTTGACAGAAAATGGCATAAAACCCAACCAAAGGCTCTGCCAAACCTTCCTGAACCCTTGGAAAAGATTAAACTACTTAAAGTCTGATTTACACAAAGGAATTTGTTTTAATGAAAAGTAACATGGAAAACTGTTCTTGTTACTTACATGTACTTATTTGTATGCACACAGAAACAGATAAAATCCCCTTTGTTACATTAAGCTATTAAAACACAAATAAAAGCAGTGTGAACTGGCTGCTTAATGATGAATTTCATACTCATCATTAAACTGATATTATGATTCAACACTAGCCGATGACATAGTTTGCTTCCTGTAAGGAAGCTCTTATGAAAATCTTCACCTTAAGCTTTGTGTAGAAGCATTAAAACTCAGTATCAGATTTACTGAACTAAAGATACCACTATGAAAATGAGGAAGTATCAAATGAAAATACTTCAAAAAAAAAGACCTGGAGTTTCTACATGAGCAAACAAAAAGCAAAAACATGGGCCACTAAAGACTGTTATTCCTCTGACTTTGAGTCTCACCATATTTTTGCCACCACTGAACAGCATACGTATATACTCAAACAGAAAAAACACCACCTGTTGTCCATCCAGCCTCATTCAATTGAGCTACCACAACCCTGGTGAGAAGGAGAAGCAGCAGCAAAGCACCACTTCAGACCTGGTGCTAGCTTTACCACCTAAGCAATAACTTTATACAACTATACCCTCAAACACAAGCCTTCTGTCTTCACTTTTAAAGTCCTTCATACCTGCACACCCTATCTACCATCTCAATCATTTCCCAGTCAAGACCTATTTCTTCTTTCAGCATATTTTGATAGCAATCTCTACTGATTGTCAGATAAGAATATGTGTCTGCTATTCTGACAGTCATGCTTGTAGGCTGTTCCACACTTTCCACAAAGCTATTTTCTTCCTTCAAAACCTTCTTTGTAATGCTTCATAAAAAGAACAGTGCTTAATTGCCTGTATGCTGATCCAAACGACTACCTGGTTTCCCAGTGCCCCTATAAATGCTTATATCTAACAGTCTTCCCTGATTCCATAATCAGTTATCCTTGTGGTAGAGTTTTCATCTTCATATATACCAGCATATTCCTGATGCAGTGTTCTGATTAAAGGCAAGGACTCAAAGCGAAGCTGTAATAAAAGATATTACATTTCTCCTTGAATCTCCTCATTTGCGTCAGTACCAAGACTAAAAACCACAGAATGCAAGGTTGAATATAAAGAAGATTAGTCTTACGGTTAGTCATAATGTCAGGAAGGTGAAGGAAACAGACACAGGCTTGTCCTTCCCAATTCACCCAGTCTGAATTTAAAGCCTCTGGTTTGGGCACAGAGGTATTTTGGCACAGATGGGGGAAGAGAAATGAGCAAAGAATTTCAAATAGCTTTTAAAAAACAAAAAAAAAAGAAAGAATGTGAGTAGAAAAGAAAAAAATTAAGGTGGCTCCAACAGGACAAAAAAAAGAAAAACACTGAGGAAAACTGGAATCAACAGACGTTTATCAAGGGGATTTCGATTCTAGATAGAAGTCCTGAGATTTAACTTATAGAGATAAATAATGAGAAGAATATAATACTGGAACTTTAATCACCCTCTAAAGCAATACATAATGTTCATGAACAGTCTTATGGGAGTCAGTTACTATAACTTAAACACAAGTCAAGCAAACTTCAGAACCACATTTAAGCGTGAAGAACACATTTCATATCAACTTATTTCATTAATTTGATAACATTATAAATGTTCATACTTAACACTCAGTGCTGCTGAAGATTACATTCAGTAGCAAAAAAAAACCCCAAAACAGGCACAGTTGTATTAAGCTGACACATCAAGAAGCAATGCAAAATGCCTCACACCCAATTTCTACTTCAATTACTGGCGTCAACCAGATTCATAACCAAAATAGCACATATAAAGCATGTTCAATAGAACACCACTTTCATCACTGCAAAGTTCTGTTCCTGACGCACTTAAGTTTCATTTTCTTACAAAGTAGCCATATTTATGTAACTTTCTGGTTTTAGAAGTGGTAGCATCACCTGAAAAGAAGGAAAGGAAGGAAGAAAAGCACAGAAAAGGGGAGAAAAGCAATGACCTTCAAAATGCTCAAACTTCAGAACTCACTAAAAAACCCCCGCTAATTCTACACTGTGGATTTTGTGTATCACTGGGTGAACCTACCACTTCTATAACATTTCTGCTTGGAAAAGGAGAATATTAGCATAAAACTAGAAGTTGAGCCACTGCTGTCTACTCCAAACTTCCATCTCAGCTGAGATGCTGCAATAGCATGAACAACAATAAAAAAAGAACCACACAACCAAACACTGAAACTGAATTAACAATGACGCAGCATCAGAGTAAAGCACTGATGTAAAAAAGCATTCCCAGGGAGCTGACACTCTTAAACATACAAAGGGAGTTTTTCCTCCTGTAGGGTCCACTGGACAACAGCTTCAAACAATACCATGTATTTTAATCCCCACACATCTTCAAAATAAACATTCTTTGAAGTAACCCCTTTCCAGAAAATACACATCAAACTAAGTTGAGGTCAGAAACTTTATTTTTTCCTCAGGTGAAATTACACATGTGTTCCTTACAAGTTTCATCTGAGGACAGAAATGCGGGATCAAGCCAATACATTTTTGGGAACTAACCCGAACTTTCTTGCTAATTACGCTTTTCACTGATACATTCTTGGCAGAACAGTTCCAGTTGGAGCTAAATTCACTGCAAGTTCATTTTACTACCATTTTCCACAAAAATATACAATTTCATTCATGTTTTTTATTCACTGATTACCAAGATTATGACAACTGGTTTTAGCCAAGCACACTGCCACACTAGAAGCTAGAACACACGAATTTGTCCAAGCATTTTCTTTCTCTAAAACACTTTCAGATAGTAATTTAAGAAATAAAATTCAAGCTGTCAACTTTTTAAATCATATCCTCAGAAAACAGCATACAAGGCTTTTCATTTACATTCTTGTTAGCCAAAGATAATCCTTCTATGGCACAGACCCAAATTCTACCCTCCTGAATGTACATATCACTGAATAATTTGTTCAAGTGTCAGTTGCAATTTTCAAAAATCCTTTCTTGCCTCTGAATCTTAAACATCTGTAACAAATACTTGTTTTGAGAGTGCTTTACATTCGTGACACTTGACCTTCTGCTGTATGCACCACAAAATTTATGTTTCAAATACCATGCAAGCAGGAAATCTGATCATTCCAGCAGTAGCCATCTGCATGGTCCAATATCAGCTATTAGTTCTGGGTTGCACAAAGTCATGGGCTACAAAACTTTTCTACAACTTCTGTAATTAGTTGCAATTTGCTGCTTCTAAAGCACATTTCTCATTGAACATCTGGCCTCAAAAATCTTACCTTAACATTGAAAAGTACTTCGCATTTGGTTGTTGGTGTGCATACACATACATGTGTATATGCACATGCACATAGATTAAGTGTAACTACAGAATGCAAGCATATGCTTTGTGGATGGCATACCTAGGACTAGAGATTTCTACTCCAGCAACAAAAGCCTTTTAGCTCTGGAACTGTAAGAGAATATTACAAGAAATATCAAACATAATGGAAAAGTGTTTTCCAATGTTCGTACTGGCTTATATCTCATTATTGATGTTAAATGTTAACAGCTCATCAAGCACCCTACCAAACACTTGACAGCTTTGCACAAATTGGAATTGTCTTTTGCATGATCCTTAATGTAACTCGAGGACTATGTTGAAACTGAAATGTGAACAAGGCTTTAAAAAAAAAAAAAGTTAAAGCACCACAGTGACTAAAAAAAAAACAAAACAAAACAAGTTCAATGTTAACATACCCAAATACTTTTTGTTAACCAAGTTAGACATATAACAAAATCACGCCACTGCATATTTCAGCTTCATTGTGTCAGAAGGAAAAAAAAACCAAAAACACACCCACACTTTCCTGAGCCTGAGAAATGGCGTAAAGGACAAATCATTGCAAGCAACTAAACAAAAAGCCCTTTGAGTCCCTTGCATGTAAGAAGTCTTCCAAGTACACTCAAGCAAGAACTATAACTTCCAAAGAGAAAAGAGAATTACACTCCAGGATCTTTGAAGCGCTCCTTCAATAATAACAACACATCTTCTGAAAAATGTCCAGCACTCAGTGGTGCCACGCACAGCTGCCTCAAGCAACCAGCACTGCTTCTTGGGAGGCAGAAGATTGAAGCACACAGGATGCTACATTGCTCTTTAAATCCATTTCTTGTCTAGTCATAGGAAAATTCTGGCAGAGCACTATAAACACACTGTTACATCTGCAAGAACACATCTACAGCTAATGAAGAATTAAAAATAAGCATAAAGGAAGATACTAGCCATGACAAGAATAACAATATTAACCTCTCAGAAAATAACAGGGACCACAACTTCACGTGCCCGATTCTTCAGATGGCTTTAAAGAAAGTTACCTATAGAGGCTATTACTCTATTCAGCCTCTCAATGTTAGAAAAGCATTCACCACATTTCTTACCTGAGCTCCATCCTTTAACTTCAAGATGCATTCCATTGTATTGATAGTGATGACAACTGGTTCTGATCCCAATTTTGTCCATGGCACATGAATCCGAAGTTCATGAATATGCCCACTTAAAAAAGTAAATGGTAGTTTCAGCTCCTAACAACAACAAAGAGTGGTGAATTAACTACTGAAACAAGACACTTTGCAACTTAAAATAGTACGGTTCTAGCACAAAACTCAAGTCAAAATTTATTCTCCTCCCCAAATCAGCAGTGTGCCATAGGGCTTGGCAACTGGCTTTATAAACACTTGCACACACTTAAGATTACAATTAGTCTGTTCAAAGGAGACACTTGGATTACCATGTCATTGATAATAAAAGTGTTTAAAAACAGCTCTCTCACATGAAGCTACTGCAAAAGGTATCACTATTCAAGGGACAAGTAGAAATTTACCAGGTGAAAGTAAATTTAATAAAAATAACCTGCGTTATTCTGAAGAACACAATTTTGGAATTAAAAAAAAAATCATTGACAAAGCCACAGCAAGGCAATTTCTACCAAAATATTTTAATACTTTGAGTTGTATGAGCTCGGTGCTCTTTAATATTGGCCCACTGTTGCTCCATTCACAAACTGTCCAGTAAATAAAAAGTTATTAAATTGTTCACTGGCAGAACCAGACAACTCCTCACCAAGGCCTAATGTGGATGTCACACTGCTTAGGAACTGGTGCAAGTCAGTCCAGAACTCCTAACAAATGCCTGGCACTCCACCTAGTCAGTGCATAGATCACACTTCTATAGGACAGCCCCAGTGAGACAGTTGCTGGATGCAGCGAGTCAGCATGAAACAAGGTGCCACAGTTTAGATAAATCCTTTAGATACAAAGTGTTGAAATTTCCCCAGTAGCTTCAGAGGTTCTTCTGAGAAGCATGAGCTCAACACTTACGAGACAGAATAGTCAGGCTAGAGACCCAGTCCCAGGACTAAAAATCAAGATTTAGAATAATGAAAGTAAGTGCTTAGTGCAAAATAAAGAAACAATATTTGATATTATGTCAGAATTTTCAGTCAGGATTCTCAAAACTAAGTATTCTAACGATGAGGCTTCAATGATGATATATCTTCTTACCTTCCCATCTCCTACCACGACATTTTTGGCTATAAGGGTTTAATGTTTTAATGGGGAAAAAACAACAGCGTGTTCATCTTAGATGCTGGGAACTACAGGTGTTAATCTTCTTGGGTTGAGAAAGCAGTTCATCTAAGTCTCCTAAATGCTAGACAATAGTTTTGGCTATTAGAATAGAATAGTTCCGGTTGGAAGGGACCTACAACAATCATCCAGTCCAACTGCCTGACCACAAGTTACAGCATGTTGTTAAGGGCCTTGTCCGCCTGCCTCTCAAACACTGACAGACCTGGGGCATCACCTCCCTCTCTAGGAAGCCTGTTCCAGTGTTTGACCATCCTCTTGTAAAGAAATGCTTCCTAATGTCCAGTCTGAACCTCCCCGGCACAGCTTTGAACCACTCCCACGTGTCCTGTCACTGGAGAAGAGATCAGCACCTCCCTTTCCACTTCCTGTCCTCAGGAAGCTGCGGAGAGCAATGAGGTCGCCCCTCAGCCTCTTCTCCAAACTAGACGAGCCCAAAGTCCTCAGCTGCTCCTCACAGGACGTTCCTTCCAGCCCTTTCCCCAGCTTTGTTGTCCTCCTCTGGAGGCATTCAAGGACCTTCACATCCTTCTTAAGTTGTGGGGCCCAGAACTGCACACAGGGCTCAAGGTGAGGCTGCACCGACGCTGTGTACAGCGGGATAATCGCCTCCCTTGACTGACTGGCCATGCCCTGATTGATGCACCCAGGGTGCAGTTTGCCCTCTTGGCTGCCAGGGCACTCTGCTGACTCACACTGAGCCTGCTGTCAGCCAGAACCCCCAGGTTCTTAACTCTTGTGTTTCCTAGTAAACTCAGGGACATAAACCTTTGTTCAGAACTTCAGAATTTCCCTGGCAAAACTGGGCAACCCAGGGCTTAAGCACCTTTGCACCTTGGCTCGGCTTAGGTACTTACATGCTTCAAGTCACTACTCCTACAAATGAGTAGAAATTAAATAGAGAAGGTCCATGAAACTCTGAGGTCAAGCAGGCAAGTTGCTAGGAAGTTTTGAACATCTAGAAGCAGATCCAGAAAGCCTGTTTTCCTGCACTGCTTGACCCTAGACTTAGCCCTGCTGTACAGAAGTTTTATATGAATGAAATTTGAGGACAAGTGGATTTTGCATTTAGTACTCAACATATATTATAAAGTCTACCTATAGAATATTTCTGTGAAGTTAGTTGAGGTCATTATTTGCCTAACATCTTAAACTGTACCCAATCTTAGTGACATGTTTTAAAAAATCCATTAAAATTTTTCATTTTTCCAAGTAGTTACCATGACATAAGTTCAGAGTTGAAATAAGCACTATCACAACTGTGACAGGTTAGCATCCCGCGGTAGCCTCTAATTAGTTACCCAAAAGAGATGTCAGCTGTTCTTACACACAGATACCTAGCACCACCACAGCGACAACAGCTGCTAATAGAAGAAATTTTAAGGACACTCTCTCCATTCTGCAGCTGATACCTCCTTGGCCTTTCTAGTGGTATTAGAAACAAGTTCATCTTGCATCCAAGAGCTAAGAGCAGATGAAGTACTGACACTGCTGACAAAAATCTTCAGTGAAGGCAATCACATAAGATTATAGCTCTATTTTTTTTCCCCCTAAAGTACAGCTTTCAGTTTGTAAATTAGTTTTTGGGGTTTAATGAGCTTTCATTAATCAAGTTTAAGAAACCCACACTCATCTCATGTCAGGGAAACTCTTGACTCCTACCTCAGCCATGCTTACACTATGTCACATCTAATTTCAAGTCTCCACTACAAAAAGATGACAGTTACAGACTTTCTCACAAAACAGTTTGACAGAAATTGCTAGTTTGTTCTTACAAAGTGGTTTTTCTTCATCTCATTCACTAATATTCTGAATGATTTTAGCTAAAAGCCTCTCTCCTAAAATTCAGCCTTAGGCTTACAATCAACACAAAATTTTAATCCAGTCTCAGTTAAGCCACTGAAAGGCAAGTACTGGGCAGTTTAGCTACAGATGTTGCTACACTGATCACACAATAAATCGAAAAGTACCTTATGTCCCACAGCTTTGAGGGGGGGGCTGCAGAAATAAACCAAAAAAAAATGCAATCTAAAAATACATGACCACTTAAGAGACAATGCGCTCATCAATCAAGACAGCAAACTATCACTATTAATAATTAATAGAAATAAATTCCCTTTCCAGACTCATAGACACATAATTTTTATGTCACTCATCAATACCACAATGTCTAATTAGATCCCAACTTGCATTTACAAGTTCAAGTTATGAGTTTACTTCAAAGGGAATTCTAGAATAGATCTTTTTCCACTATTTGCTGGATGAATTTAACATTCTCATTTTTGCTCAGTTAGCTGTACAATATTGAAAGAAACAGAACAGAAGTAGGAATTCTTTCAAAATGAGGGGACACAACGAAATGCACAGCATACTTAGAATCTTTTTCAAAGGAATTCAGATACAAATGTTGTCTGACATCATTATCCTAATTGCACAAGCAAGTTTCCTTAAAGCAATACAGAGAAATCTTTGTCGTGCTATTTCAGTAGACAATACAAATGTGTGCCAAATTTAGTAACTTGTTCATAATGCATCATAACAAAGACCATTTTTATTCCTCCTCCTTTTCTGTTAAATCTTTCCCCTTTCATTAAGTACTGCATGAAATTCTTAATGTATCTTTTGTACTTACAACTGATTAGACTTTACATTTTAGATTTTACAATTATGTCATAAATCCTTCAAAAAGTAATGATATGGCTGAAAACAATCTCCTGGGCTTGACACATAAATAACTGACCAACATTGTTTAAAAGTGCTGACCAGGTGATCATTAATTCCTCTGGCCTTAAAACATCCCTTTGCTCTAAAACACAAGACTCTCCCGAACTTTGGCGTGACCAGCAAGTACTGTTTCTCCACATCAGTATTAACTCAAATGCCTTTTCTTCACATTCAAGGCTGTATTTCACAAGTAACCCAGTGGCACATAACACAGACACTTACAGTAAGGATATTTTAATGCCCTCAATTCTTTAAAATTATTTTAAGTACACTAGCATTTTCCATATTTCTTTCTTTCTAAAGTCTCTTAGATGTGAAAAGCCCACACTACAATAAAACTCAATAGTCTTTGTATCAATTTCTCCTTTGTCTTCCAACCAAAGATCATTTCATCTTTCCCTTCTGAGTTTGTAAAACAGCTAATATAATGAGCTACAATGTTATGGAAATACACACAAGCAGCACAAAAGAGCTCGCCATGTATCTTACCTCTTTGGTAGCCCTGTGTCAACAGAAACATTATGCACAAGCTAATTACCAAGTTCTGTTACCTCTGGTACCATAGTGACTTCACATAAAAGTTGCCAAAAGTGCTTAAAAGGCTTTTCCATAAAACAGTATTTAAATATTAATTTTAAACTTTAATTACAAAATATTTTCTTGAAATACAATATGCCAGCTATTATGCCTAGATGGAAAGTTTCTTAGTCTTCTAGTAATTGAATCATCTAGCACACTATCAAAAAAAAAAAGGTGGAGAGTCAGGGGCAGGGGAAGGACAGAGCTAGTGCAATAATATTCAGCTTAGTTTAATGAGAGCACATAAAACTTACATAAATATACATTAAAACGTGTAAAGTATTTTCAGGTACTGAAACATTCTCTTTGGGTTTGATACATCTTCTATGTCAACAACTACATCACATCTGATTTCAAAAGGTATTGGTTTCAACTTGGTCCCAAAAATGAAGTAAAGTCTTCTAGAAGATAGACAGCAGTTTACGCTCTGTTCTCATCTGTTCTTTGGATTCTGTCTGGTGGCCCATAAGAGCACAACACGACATAAGAACACTAACATGAGCTGAAGCACAAGGAGCGAAGGGAGAAAGCAAAGACTTACTCCCCAATCTGTTACAAGGTGTTTTGTCCAGGTAGTTTTGACACCTACACTAATGTTCCCAAATAATCATGTACAGTTCCACAAAAGCTGGAATCCTCTGAAAATGTTTAAGGCTCCAGACAAAAATATCCAGGGTATGTGCATTTGTATCCAAAGCCTAAAGCAAGAAATTAAGGCTGCATTCATACCAGATAAGGAGCAGGGAACCAGGCTGGGGATAACAGCCCAGGACAGAAAGGGTGTTCAAAGCGCAGAGCAGTTAAGGTGACTAACTTAGGATATTACGAATCAATCCAGGCAGAGAACCCAAATAAAATAGTATATACTGGTAATTTTTAGAGACTTTAGCTTCTCAAGGGTGCTCCCTGCCAGCTGCAAAGGCTTAGTGATGTTGTATTATCACATACTACATACTCAAAGAGTTTTGCTGAGCAGGCATAAAGCATAATCCCTTCTGCAAAAAAAGAGAAAGACCCCAAACGCAGACTGTGGTTTCAGGCAAGTTCGGAAGAATAAGAGGCAAATTAAGACTGCTACATTTCACATTAACACACAGCCAAATAATGTAAAAAAAAAATTAAAACTAACTAAATTTTGGGTTCATCGCACAGTCACGTCCCCATTCAAGCTGATAAGACATAAGCACAGGTATATATGGCAACATCTGCCTCTACAAGAGCTATGACATTAACAGATTGCACTGGATATTTAGGTACCCAGCTGATACACAGGCAAAGATGAAGCCAGGGATCACCTACCAGCAAACTGCAACTATTTGAAAGGGAGTAACATAGATGACAGCAGCAAAATCCTAACAGCACCAGGTAATATAGCAAGTCTGATATATCCATTCCAAGTCATCATTAAGACAAACTTTCTCTCTACACAGGATAGCACTGGAACAGTTTATCCAAAGAGGAGGTTGGCAACAGCCCAGCTCAGACCAGGAGGCTGGACTAGACGACCTCCAGCATTCCTTTCAGATCAACCCTTCTTTGATTCCATAATTATTCCATAAATATTAAAAAAAGCTTTGAATATTCACAGGAGGAACACATCCTACACAACTGAAGTCTAGTATCAACATCAGCTATATGGACAATGTGTACCAAGAAAATGAGGAACTAGAAGACTTGAGAGAACATACATAGGCCACCAAATACTTGAAGGAAGAGAAATCAGGCTCTTTACAGAAGCACAGGAAATAGGACAGTATATCTTGAAAGATCGTCTCCTCTTCCAGAGCAGAGATATTTAATTAACCATAAATATTTCTTTCACATTTTAAAAGCCTCCTCAGTCTGCTCCAATGCCTCATAGTCCAATTAAAACATAAGAAAATTTTCCTCGATGTCCAACTTCAGTCTCCCAGAGTGGAATTTATTCCATTCTTTCTTGTCTCATCCATAACTCTTGCCCTATCTTGTCTCACCTTCATTTTATTCAGAATTAAAACCACATTCCCTATTTTATTCTTTCAATGGTTATGTTGTCTAAATCTCCCATCATTTTTTGCTGCATTTTTCTCAGCTCTTTCACTTGGACTACACCTGGACACGGGACTCTAGCTAAGACTTGCTACACTACGCACAACAGAAAACAGCTTTATCTGTCTCACACACTCAACTCAAGCTGTCAGCTCAGATAAGCATAGAAGGACACTGTCCCTCCACTAAGACTTAACCAGTTCATACTGACAGCAGCCTTGAAATTCTATGTCTAGTATTTTACTCAGCAAGCTTGTCTTCTTAAGGCTGAGTTTTATAGAGCCTCTGTTCTTAAACTACACAAACCAGCTGATCAAATCTGTCCCTCAATTACAGTTAAGTTTAGATACAACTGGAATGATGAAAACTGGAGCCATAAAAAAAATACAGAGAACACAAATCTGTGTTTAATAGGCATAACTAAAAAGAGACCCTACTTTACTTTGACATTTTGAATTAGTTACTATATGCCATTAGTAAATATGACTGGAAAAGCAATTTACTTAATGTTTATACTGTAAAACAATGGTTACTGGAAGAAGAAACGTCTGCAAAAAAGCCTTTCTCTTCACACCCCATAACTTACACAATGTGCAAAGAATTACCATTCATTACTAAACAAATGGCACAGAATTAATGCAAGAATAACTAAATGGGGGGGGGGGGAAGGACAAGGACTTGCATAAGAAAAAAACCAGTGAGTACTAAATGAACATTTATCTGTGCAGACCAGCCTAAACTATTTAGTCAATTTCTTTTAAATCAATGACACAGACTGTAACTACTGTAAAGGTAACATACCTGTTCCAGTACATCCAATTTTAATTCAAGTTTACTAAGTACAACGTCTCCTCCCCAGAGTGACAGCTGTAGATCTGAGGGCTTCAAGTTCTTTATGTAGCGATTCACATAACTCATCAAAATAGGAGTTACATAGGACTCCAGCATTCTGGAAGGTTTCTGTATTACAGGTCAAGCACTAGTAAAAAAAGCCAAGACAATGAAATATTATTTACAAATCTTTCGCCTCATTTTCAATATAGCAACAGTCACCTTAGTTGTATGAAAAATTATATTTCAAATTCTGATTTCTAAACATGTATGTCTGTATGTAGAGATACATGCAGTTACACGGAAAGGTAAAATATATACCGAGATGAAAGCACATTTGCATGTATGTACTTCCCGCTTACACACACACACGTATCGGAACTCACAACCGGCTTGCTCACTGTCAACAGAAAAGCCAACTCAAACAACCCAAAAAACAAAGAAGGAGGTCAAGCAGCCTACCATGCTTTCATATAAAATTTAAGTGACAGAAACCCTGTCACTTTTAACGGCAAGTCCGTGAAAAAACATCACCTTAGACACCCCTCAGCGTGCCGGTACCTCGAGTACCGCGTACATGGCAAAACCGCCAGCTCCCTGCCACCCTCGGCTCTAAGCAAACCCACACCCCTCACAGCCCAAGCTGAAGTTACGGCAACGC